TCCTTCGGGTTGCGACCAATTCGGGGTGCAACCAGAGTCACGGAACAAATTAAATTCGTAAACCGAGGTACCACTGTACCATAATTTGCAAACCACAATGAACTGGGTTCATATAAGGTGCTAAGCCAAACCAAATAAATTTCCTTACAGTATCACTTAGTGTGATGTGCAAATTCAAACAGGATAAGCTGCCCAATATTCAGAAAGGTTTTGCTCATAATTTAGCATCATCTTCAAGTGCAAAACATTTTTAACCTAAAATAATTAATGCCAGCCATTCACCGAGCCAAAAATCTAAAAGCACTCTTGTGGATCCCATTGAAACACAGCTAAACCATTTCCCTGCCTCAGTCTTAGAGCCAACTCTCCTCCTCTACTCTGACTTAGAAAAAGATGCTGTTCACTCTTGAAGTTAACTGATTTTTTTGTGTGTGTAAATCACAATTGTCTGGGTTCATGAAACTAAACAAACCACATAATTGTAAACAAAGATTTATCTGTCTGTCTATATAAATATAAATAGTAGAAATATTTCTAAAATAAATTATAGACAAAGTAACTGGTAAACCTTTCTTGGTTCATACTTTTATTTTATTTGGAAGGAACCCCTTTCATTATTCTTCTCTGTCCCCATGTAAAACCATCAGCTGCTCTTGATGCTGAAGTACTCCAAGTCTATTTAAAGGAACTCTCAATACTTCGCATGAGGCTCACTCCTGTATAAATGTGCATGACTACAGATCATAATAACTTCTTCAAATATAATTGATTTTTAAATAAACCTTTTGGCCAGTTATTCTCCCCAAAAGCTTGTTCTTTTGTCCTGCCCCAAATAATAGATCTCTATGAGTTATTTGAATAAATTATCTGCCATAAAGTAAGTCCACTCTTAATTAATCTAAGAATTCAGATCTGGGCACGGACTTTCGCTGTGCTTCTATTTCCTTCCTCTACGATTTACTATATTTTTTTTAAAAAAACCTGTTCTACATTTACAAACTATGGACTTTCCCGGAGCCTTTCAATAAATACAGTAGGTTCGAAATGTGGTGTCACTCATTCAGCCCTTCAGCCACGCAGACTACAAAGCTTCTTGCACATTTTAAAAAGAAAAAGAAAAGAGGATTAAATCCTAAAGAGGACCATGCTTGCACAAACGGGATGTAAGTTTAAAACAAGTTAGGCAACGGAGCGTCCATAACTTGGCCGAAGAAGACCCGTTCATTCCATTTCCTCTTTTCTGTCTTTCATCAGGCTGTTTCTGGGCTGCTGCTGCCCTCCTGCTGCTGCTCTTTGGGGCCCACGCTTTCCCGATCGGAGATTCCTCCGGGGAAGAGGAATTTGGAGAGGATCCCTCCGCCAGAACGTCGGCAGCCGGGCGCGTCCAGCTGAACACTTGGACAGAGTTAGCTCTCTGGCTGCAAGGCACCGCCGCGAGGTGGAATCAGGAGGTGAGTTCGGGCGCGCAGTAACGAAGCCTGAGCGTAGCTACTTGCAGGGAGCGGGAAGAGAAGCGCGTCCCTTCTGATCTGAGCTCTTGTGACTTTTAAGAAGGGAAAGTCTGCCTCGACCCAGGAGGATGCTCCGTTTCCCGGAGCAGGTACCTGATTGCACCTTTTCCTTTGGAAGGGCCAAGAGTCCTCTTGGTCCCCGTGCTTAGAGGACTTTGAGCCTCACGGCATGATCCGTGCCTGGCGCTCCGGGGTGGGGTTTGTGGTCGTGCTGCTCATCAATCAGAGTCCGATCTTTGCCAAAGTAGTAGGTGGGCTACCTAAAAGGACAGCCTTTATTGCAAACAAGAAAAAGAAAGGCACTCACTCGGAAGGGAAAGTCTTGAGGAGGGACCATCTTCCTCGAACGTTCTTTAAAGTTCTAATAGAAGAGAATATCTGTAGCTCAGGGTTGAGCTGGAGTCCTTGGTGCTCTCTGAGCTTGGTGGTTTGCTTGCAGATATCATGTTATCTAGTCAGGTAATGAAACGTCTGCAAGCAAACCACCAAACTCAGAGAGCACCAAGGACGCCACGTTCTTGAAAGGTCCTTCTGCATCCCCCCACCCCTTGTATGAACTTGAAAGCTTGCACATTATTTTATGGTCTCATCAAAGGATTGTCTTAACATGCTTTTTAGAATACTACACAAATATTGTCATCAAATAGCAATGATTGGTTAAAACATCAGTGAGCCATCTTTAAACATAAATTGGCTTATTATTGAATAAGATTTTATGGATCACTTCCTCAGATGTATCGATCTGAGGCAATGGATTGTGATACAAGTTTGGTTAATCTTTCAAGTAACGCACAATTCTTCGCTGTTTTTGCTACACAAAGCAAACACAGCTCTTTCTGGAAGCAAAAGCTATAAACACTCTTTTTAATAGTTGCAGGATTGTTAGATATAGAGCAGTGCAGTCATTACAAAAGCAAGACTGTCAGTTTGCCCACATAAGAAACCCTAAAAATAGAATTGAATAAACAGTTTTAATATATAAACAAAGGCAATACTGGGAATTTTTTGGGAGAATCAGTCAAGAGGAAGTTAACTTCTGTATTGTTCACTTTTTAGGAATGCATGATTTCACTTTCATTTCTAAAAACATGATTTATTTCTGAGAGCATTTCTAAATTGCTCAGTGTATCAGGTACCCATCCTTTATCAGGGTAGTAGCTTGCTTGTGGATTAGGCAAATTCCTTATATTCCACTGCAGTCCTTTTTTAGTCAAGTTTTCAGTGGCACAGAGAAAGTCTAAGTCACTGGACATTGACCGTACATTGCAATAGCTCCAATACAGTGACTTTAAATGGCTTCCATGTACTTGTGAAAAGGGAGATACCCATCACACTGTTGTAGGTAGTTGTCCTACTGAATGGCAAATTACAGCTCTGGTGAAACATGTGGCCTGCACACGTATTTGTGATGCTGATTATCATTGTGTAGATGAGGCTTTGTACATCCATTGTATTCTTCTCCCTAGTGGTGTGCAACATGTTTCAAAACTGAAATGGTTCCAGCCAGAAGTACCCCATTTTGAGCTCAAAACAGCTGTTCCAGCTCTACAGGAAGTATCTTAATATTCTTCTGACCATACCATTAGTGTTTCAAGCTTATAACACTTGTAGTATGGTCAGAATAGTATTAGAAGCACTTTCAGTAACCTTAGAGCAACCCATTTTAAACTCAAAACAAGTGATGGGGTGATTTGGTTTTTCATCTTCTCCCCCAATCAGTGCTGGTTATTAATTTCTAACTGTACACAGGATCCATGGTTTTTTCCTTTGCAGAAGCTATTTGCATAGCCTATAAGAAATGAGCATAGAGAGAAAAATAAGCATATTAATTAAAATTCTTAAATACCCAGCTTTGTGAAGTTTAAATTAGTGTAAAACATAGCACAAACAAACATTAGCAATTTAAATGGAAAACTATTTCAAATTTCAAACCTTACTGTTTCATTCTTGCAGAGCAGAACATTTCAGACTTTTGCCTGCTGCTAAACGTTGTGAAATGTTTATGTAGCACTATTACTAGACGCACCATCAGACCTCCAGATGTGTAGGGTTTACCATCCCTAAATTTCCTAGTTACCATGGCTAGGGATTCTAGTAACTATAGTTCCAAAAAATCTGGAGGCCACCTGATGTCAGGAGACTAATATAGATTGACTGAAAGAGTCAAAAGGCCATGTAAAAGCATAGTGGACCATTTGCAACCAATTCTATCTTTATGTTTTACAGCTGTGCAAGGAGCAAAATGCATGTAAAGGTACAATGGAAATTATGGTACAAAATAATCTCAACCTTCCAAAGATCGTTAAAGAAGATGGATGCTACCAGCCTGGATTCCAAATGGTAAGTAGAATATTAATGTACACTGGAAATATTTATGCTTTTTGTAATGTGTTTTTAAACACTTTGTATATAAACAGAGCAAAGCTCCTCACATAGACACTTAAAACAAGAACTGCCTTATCCAGCAAGCAGCAGAATAGTAGGGACATGAAAGTATTTTTTTCTCCCTAGAAATTGCAACCAAAATAGATTAAGTAATTAAGTTGATATACCAACTATTTCAGATCCATGTTTGAGGAAGAGAGGGATTTGGATCCTGCAGATCCAAAGCAACCTGATCTGCCCACAACTTGGAGGAAACTTACGGATCTGTTTCTCCAAGACCTGTTTTCTCTCTCTCCTCAGGGTGGAGATGAGTTTTTACCTAAGGCATTATTAATATTTTATAAATTTTATAATATTTAGGTGATTACACTTAGATATAATTGAATGTACTATAAAATGTTATTTAACAATATATTGGAAGCAACAATAACTTTTGTTTTTACTCATTTAGGAAACTTGTCTAAGACGACTTTCAAGTGGCCTCTATGCATTCCAAACATTCTTGGAATATATAGAAGAAACTACACAAAGAAGCGTATCTATATCATCAGGCGCACAACACCTGGCAGACACATTGAAGTCAATGGTAAGCAATATTTACATTTGACCTAGCACAGTTGTTCTGCTGTATAATAGTAGCAGCCATATTTTTATTGATTTATTTATTAAAGCTGAGGAGTTGGGAGTCCTTGACATTTTGATGATACCAATAAGTTCTCCAGGAGTTCCTCAGCATTACCTTCTGAAAATGTCCACCAAGAACTGAAACCATCATAAATGGTGCATCTGTGTCTCACCTCAGCTGGTGATCCAATAGGATACTAACACTGATACTGAAAAATATAAAGGCCTGGCAGAACCAGTAGGGCCACATTTCTTCAGTTCATTCTTAATGTCTGAAATTGGAATGTCATTGTCTAATGTAAGTTCTGGGGAAAAATACATATTACGCTTTGATCAACATGCATGTTACCAGACTAAAGAAAATTATGGGTGTTTTTAATTAACAAATTCTTTCTTAAACCCATTGTTAATCTCTGCTTTGTATGGCTACTATAACAATTAACTAAATCTCTAATGGGCAAATTTGGAATCTAGAATTTTATCACTCTTAAAATGGCTGCCATAGGAATGGTGACCTAATTGCAGTGACAATGGGCAATAGCCAGTCACAAAATAGAGGGGATGAGTGCCCATAGGCATACTGCTGCATTGAGGTATTAATTGGCTTACTTTTTTACTAAATAAGGTGAGTATACCTCAATTAAAATAAATGTAGAGAAAATACAATTACCAAATACCAAAAAGAACCTTCTTTCCTGTAAGTAGTCTATATATTAGATATGCAAAACACTCTTGCACAAAAAAGAAAACTTTTGTTCCTTCTTCCCTTCCTTTAACAGATGAACAATCCTGAGATTGTGAGCATGCCATCTCCTGACACTCAGAAAACCCTTTCTGCAAAGCTAAGAGAACAGAGAGGTTGGAATATGATAGTGGTCAAGCACTTCATTCTTCAAGACTTTACTTTATTTATGGAGACCACTTCAAGGGTTATTCGCTTCCTATGACAAGCCAACTGTAATGTCTGAATGTTTTAAATCAGGCACATCAAATAGCCACCCGTCTGAAACAGATGTCATGACTGTTCTCCTGTGAGAACTTATGTTTTAGACATATACTTTAACTTATTTATGGTATTTAATATATTTATTAAATATTTTAATAATTTTTACTTTCCAGACTTAAGTTAAATTCACTAAATAATGTATGGTTAAATTATATTTTTTATGAGACAATTTGATATATTAAAATACTTTTTAAAAGAAAAAAAAACTTGTGAATTTATAATGGAAGCAAACTTCATCTCCATGCACTGCAACTGCATTGCAGCTCTATACCATTTTCACCTTGAAATTATTCTAAATATTAAGTGCTTTATTCAACATTTGTCATTCCAAAAGTGACATTCAAAAGGGAAAACTTGTAGTCACCAACAATCCAATCTAAATCACCTTTTGCCATATTTGTTTTCATGGAACTAATTAAATAGATATTTCATAGAATGATAGACTCAAGCCAAGATTGCAAACATCCCAGACAAATGGCCATCTAGCCTCTGTTTGAATACATGCAACAAAGAGGGACTCCTCTCTCTCGATGATTGGTTCTACTTTCAAACTGCACTTTTTTGTCCTCTAACATTCTATTAGAATCTGCCTTCCTGCAACTTAAACCCATTATCCCATATCCTTTACTCTGAAACAAGAGAGAAAACTAGCCCTGCCTTTTCCTATGTGACATCCTCTCAAGTATTTGAGGACTGCTATCATATCCCTCCATCACCCCACCATCTTTTCTCAAGACTAAATATATCCAGATCCTTCAATCTCTCTTCATAGGTCATATAGTCCCCTGCTCATTTTCACTACTATTAACAGAATATGTTCCAAGACTGAATCTGTCTCAGGATGTGGTGCTCAGTACTGGACACAGCACACTATTCTGCCCAATACAAAATAAAATGGAATGATTACTTCTTGTGATCTGCAGTTATACTTCTGTTGATGCAGCCTAAAACTGCGCTTCTCTTTCTTACAGCCACATCACATTCCTGGCTTGTATAGGTTTGCAATCAATTACTTTTCCAACTTCTTTTTCACAAGTAGCATTATCAAGCCAGGCACCCCCCCCCACCTGTGCATTTGACTTATCTAAGTCAAGACTGCACTTATCTGGGTTAAATTCCTGTTACTTTTAGCCCATTTCTCCAAACTATTGCATTCACTACAAATGTTATTTCTCTCCCTTGGATAATAGCTATCCTATCCAATTTTATGTAATCTGTAAGTTGCAGAAGGTAAGCTCTTAAAAGCTATTTGTTTTTTAGTTATTTTTTAGCTATACAGCAATAGTCTCTGGCTCTAACATCTCCAGGCCTCTTCGCTGCTTCTAGCTTCAGCACTGCCACTGCTTTACTAGCCACCAAACAGCTGATCAGTGTGCCAGGTATTCCTGTGTGGCCTGCAATTATTTTTAATTTATCAGTGTGGCCCTTTCTCCTCTATAGGTTGTGCAGGCCTGGCCTACTCTAATGCTGGGTAGGGGGAAAAAACCAGAAAAAAATAGCTTTTCTTGCAATACTTTTAATTATTTAGAATTATGCTACATCTTCCAATATTCTAGAAAATCAGAAGTTACTCCTGACCTTTTAGATAGTAAATTTGCCAAGGATTCTGTTGGGATTCTTGAATTAGTTCAGTGGACTTGTCAGCATTAATTAAATTAATTATATTAGTATGAAATATAATATACAGCACTTTTTTCCCTCTGGTATTAAAAATAAGACCTTGCCCAACTCAAGTTGAGAAGGAAATTAACATTTCATATTCTAATTATTATAAAGGCAAGACTTAATTAATCAAATCAGTCAGTGACTGTGGCAGCTGACAAATCAAATAAATAAACCCATCCATCTTGAAGCGCTGATAAAAGTGACACTACGTGTCATATTCTGAAAAAACACCAGATTGCCTCATTAAAAATTTTAAATCTAAATCTTTATTCCAGTAGAAGTAACAAAGTGTGCCAAATACATTAGACTAACAGAAATGTCATTTACATGTTATCAGGTGAATAGCTGGCCAGTAGCATTGCATAAATGTCCTTCGATCTCTGGAATGTACTCATCTTCAAAGGCATACTCTCAAAATACATTAATTAATTCCTTCATCCCCAAAGCAGACTAAGAGAAGGGAAAAAAAAAGAACAAAATTGGTCACTGAGGTTGACACAGCTTAAATAATTAAATACTACGTCTAGCAACTTAATCACTGTAGCATAATGCTCTGAATGTCTATTTAGAAGTAACCTCAACTGAATTCATTTTCTGTTTCAAAATGGTGGGAATACACTCATCAAACCTTTATTACACTCTAAGCCTGACAGCACAACAATAAAATACATAAACCTGTAATTATTATTAATAAAAGTGTAAAAAAGTATATTTATGGTTTTAATGTTTTTGTAAGTCGCCCAAAGTCCCCCATTGGGGGGAGATGGACGGGGGAGAAATTTGATAAAATAAAATAAATAAATAAAAAAAGACATAAAATGCAACAAAATACAATAAAAATCTGTTTCAGAATGGTGGGAATACACATTGATTTTCAGCAAGCACAGGCAATGGTGCTCCTGGGCCTGTAAAAATAAGGTTTGGGAATTGTTTGGAAGTTGTATGTGCTCCGTGGCTATGCACTGCCCAATCCTGATATAAATACCGGTATAACAGAGCCTGGTTATTATTACAGAAATGCAACTTGTTCATTTTCAACAATACTCCAGCATGTAATCACAGCTGAAGAACAGCTGTCCATGGATACCTGTGAATCAATGGCTGAGATGAAATCTGCATTTAGAATGATCAATCTGCAGCAGATAGGGATATTTCATCTGCTGTTATTTTTTCCTGGTGTCTAATATAGACAAGAAATACCAGGATTTAGCCACTTTTTACTAATATTGTGTGTATCTCAAGGAACACCATATTCCATAATGCATTCTAGAGATTTTTTTTTTAGTTTCTATGATTGCTTATTCCAGAATGAAATGAAATTATTACAGTACATCCACTTGCCAGATTATGAGTTTTGACGTTAGGATTACAGGGCAATTGGTCATGTAAAGTGAACTAAAAACATTAGAGTTGGTTTGGTGTACATTTTCAGACTAAATCTAGATCTGCTCTACTGTAAGTAAACTGCATTGAACATAGTGGAATTTACTTTTGAGTAAACACAAGAATGCACTATCAGCATTCAGCCCAATTTCTTTCTAGATACTTAGATACTCCTCAAAACATTGAAAACTAAAATCACATCAAAATTATTTTTTCTGCCCATAAGCTGGTTGCACATGTGGAGATTCCAAGACTTAAGAAATCACTTTTAACAGTTTCCATGCTTACCTTTATTTTCTTTTGCTTATTACAACAGTGAGACTTCAAATATATTATAAACTATAAATTTATGATAACCATTATTTTTGAAACAGAATGCCAAATATTCTTTAAACATGCTGAACTCATGCTTCAGTACTCAGTTTAAAGAAATACAAATTCACAAAAATTATAACTCCAAGCTCCAAAAGGGAAACAATTATGACTATGTTAATATTAATCCAGAAAAAAGCTTCATTTAAATTAATGATTCAATTCAGTCATTGTTCATTTAGAGAAAAAAAATTACATGTCTGTTTAATCATTTTGAGACTTTATATTTGAGGTAAGATTAATGCTCCATAGAAATATTCATTTCAAATTTAACAGATCATATACAGTATATTTAAAATCTTATACAGATATGACAAAATGTAAAATTGAATAAACTAGCACATGCAGGTTTATTTTAAACAGATAAATGAGAAAAACATAACTTAATTACAAAATCCTTAAACATTAGACCATAGGCCATACTAAATGCCAAAGAAGAATATTCTTTTATATGTTGGTGACAATGCACCTCACATTAGTAGCTTTACAATGTAATGCTTTCTATCTTAAGTAGTGTTGTCAAATACTTTTATGTGAACTACACCATCTTCTTCTAAACACTCCAATATAGGGGAAAAAAATCAACTGCTTTTATTCTGAAAATCTACAAGTTATTTGGTTGTAATCTAGTTTTACACAGACTTTATTCTGGGAGGTGGGGTTGTTGTATAATCTCCCTGAACTTTTCCTGCAATTCTATAATCTACCCTTTAAAAAGAATTCATAATATACGATTAATAATCATGAGTATGCCTTATATTAATAATTTTTAAAAATCAGCCGTTGGTCTTTAGCTAATAGCTGCATGTAATTTGTCTTGTATGATTCAGGAATACAGGGTTTTAAGTTTGTTTATTTTTATTTATCCAATTTAGATGCCACTGCCTCCAGACTGACTCTGGGTGGCTCACAGTATAAGAACAGTAGCAAAAAAGACAAAACAAAACCAGTCTACCTAGAAAACAATAAACAAGATGGCCAACAACACAGAAACATGTATCACAGAACCAGCAAGGGGCTCTAGCCACCCTAGCCCAGAGCCTGGGAGAAGAGCCAGGTCTTCAATGGCCTCCAGAATGCCATCAGGATGGGAGCCCCTCAGATTTCAGGGGGACCCTCATTCCAAAGGGCAGGTGCCACAACAGAACTTCCCATAATTTGAAGTTAACAAAATTTTATAGAATTTCACATAACCAAACATACCAGAACTTCACATAATAATAATCCAGGAATAATATATATTGCAACCTGCAGTATTTCCCCCCCAATAGTGGTATTAAAAACTGAATACATACCTCAGAAGAGTTGGCTCAGGCATTCCAGGATCTGCACCTCTCTTAAAACCTATTTATAATAAAACAGATGTCAATCTTATGAAGACAGAAACTTTATTTCAGTCATTGACCAATAAAAGTATATTCTATAAAATAAACAAAGCAAAATTATCCCCTGACATCAATCACTGTTAGCAACCATTTGTGGGTGAAGCTTACACATAACATGGCAGAATTTTGCTACTTTTAAGGAAATACATTTATGTTGGTTGTTTAACAGGTAATACAAATAAGAATTATCAGAGTGCCCTGGAAATCTATATAAAAGGGGGGGTAATAAACTGGTGGCGAATATCCCTGTAGAACTTAGAATGCAAAAGAACATGGGCTGTGGTTTAATTTTATGAAAATATATTACTCTTCCGTTACATAATAGGAAAATATATATTGGTTGGTTAATTAATTAACTACATGTATTATACTGAATGCTTTAATGTCTTGTACCTTTTCCACCTTCTGTGGATTGGATTCACATAATGGATTTAATAACATAATTTAATTTAAATTTAAACAATGTAACAATAAAGTAATAAGTATTATTCATTTTACTTTTAATATTAATACATATATTAAATAATATTTATTATTAATAATATTATTAATAAATAATTAAACAACATGGTTTCACTAAGTCAGGGTATGTTCAGTACTATGAATTACGTATGCTATATGGAACCAGCCAACTGAAAAAAACAAAATCAGAATCACAAAACATGGTTTGTGAACTACAACAGCTGGGTTTGTATGTTTCTCAGACAAAACCAAACACAAGCATTGTGCCTCACTGTGTTGCACGAATCCCCCTATTATATGCTTAGCAACACATATCTATCTATCTGGGAAGGAAGAATACTGAAGGACCCCTGATACCCAGTTGATCTATTTCTTGGCATTATATCTACAGTATTACCACCAACAGATTCTACTTTTGCTAATAAATAGGATTTTATTTACAATTGAGCAGAAGCAAAACAGAACTGTCTAAGCATTAGCAAGCTAAGCCTATTCACTTAGTGATACTTATGCAAGAAGCAGACTTACAGTTGAACAGATGTACTGCCCAACAAAATAAAAATACTTTATCCTCACATTTGATAACTTTGAAATATTCTAGTAAAGAGCTACAACAGATTATCTTTTTCACAGCCCAAATTAAAAGGGAGTCTTTCATGAACAATTAACAAAAATATTTTCACTCATTAGTCATATGAAAATTTAGGGGAATGGAAGGAATATTTTAGATGAATTCATCTGGGAAATATCAATAAAGAACCCTCTATAATTCTGTATCCAGATTCAATAACACAGTAGCTTCAAAGTATACTGTAAAACTCCTGCTACTCAAAATAGAAGAATACACCTAATGTTTAACAAATATGAATCATAATTTCATTATACAAATGTACATTTAAATTAGCTATGCAATCATTAGGGGGCAAACACTCATTCACTGTTCCTTTTGTCTTGATCTTCTCTCCCTCCTGATTCCCACTATTATACACTTATCACATAAAAGCAGGTATAAGCTTAATTTACATGTAAATTATACGACTTCAGTATCTGAGAAAAGCAGCTGTAGAAGTACTAAATATAGATTAGGCTTTCAGTTTTCCTTTGAAAAAATGGAATGTTTATTAGGGCAAAAAGACTCTATAGGATATGTCATCTCAGAAATTATTCTATATTCAATACATATAAATAGATCATGCTCTCAGAAGGTCAAAGGATAAGAAGACAAGATACTAACCTCTAGGCATTTGGTTTTCTTAAACCAGTAATGATAAAGTCTCCCTCAAAGAACTTCAACTCCTGTGACAACATGGACAAACCCAGGCTACTTTCTTGGCAACAAGGCAGAAATGATTTGTACCTGCCTTCTTCTAAGATGCTTTTTGACTTAGCAGTTGTTGGCATTGATTCTCCTATTCAAGTACCAACCAGACCCTACCCTGCTTAACCTCTGAGATTGGACAAGGTCAGCCAGGTGCTGCACTTGCTGAATACCAAAAAAAAAAAAAAAAAGCTGCTTATGAACATCAAAGACTGAAGCAAAATGGCTCCCTTTAAGCATGATCAAGATTTAAAGCACTCTTTTTGATCACCTATTAAAAACCCTAATCCTCATTCTGCCCTGAATTGGGACCACTTTTGAGTCCTGACTCTACCTACTTTTGGAGTATGGCCTTCAATCTGCTGTGTAAAACCCAGTATGCCTCAGTCCAATAAAAGTTATGCGACCATGCCCTAAGAAGAAGGGTAAGTCACAGGAAAAGATAATTCTTGCCCCAATCAATGTGGCAAGATAATTATTGTCAATTTTGCTATTTAAATATTAGCAATTTTTTCCAATTGCAAAAATAGTGAAACAATCACTTAAAAAAAAACATTAAAGTTCAGAAGAATTAATTTTGAGTAAACACACATCTTAGCTTAAATTCTTTGGGTGAGTTTACAGAACCTACCAAATCAAATGTGATTTTTTGTTGCTATCGTTCATAGCTTAGGATGCTGTATGCACGCAGCCATTACCATTACTGAATTATTTATTTATTTAAGAAATTTATACGCCTTTGAATATTGTATGAACTTAGATTGACTTATTACCATCAGATACAGTCGATCCTCATTATTCGCAGATTCTGTATTTACGAATTCGCCTACTCACTAAATGTATTTGCAACCCCAAAATCAATACTTGCAGTGCTTTCAGCCATTTGCAGACATGTTCAGAGCACAAAAAATCTGAGTCACCTGATGAGCATGTTCCCAGCTAAGGGCAAACTAGGCGATGCTCCGCCTTGTTTCAGCTCTCATACTGTAAACAAGTGTGCTATATTCCCCCTAGGAACAATGGTTCAGTGTTTGCTAATTCAGTGTTTGTGGCAACTTTAGAGAATATAACTACCACGAATAACAAGAATTGACTGTAGTTGGGAACTGGAAGCAATATCAAATTAGAACAGCAAATGGTAGTGTTCTGTAACCATTTGCAGACTACCTTGCACAGATAAGCTTTGGTTCTTCAATAACTGTGTTATCTAGGTGGATCAGTGAATGAAGACACAAATTGACAGTACAAGTCCATATTCCCTTATGGTATATTTCATGTACATAGTTATGTTTCATATATGGGCAACAGCAGGAAAAGCCAACTCTTTTGCTTTGTCTTACCATCATTTGTTCATCATTCATCCTCAACTCCTCTCTCTCACTCATATCTCTGCAAGTCTTTCATTCAGATGTTTTGTTTGGCTGGATTCAGTCATACACAAGGCTGCAGCTTATTGAATACACTATTGGTTTCACAAAACTACATTACAGTATAGCTTAGTATATTATGTGAACCCAGTCACAGCTTGTGAAACAATATTCCTCCAAAACAGAGGACAAGCCACAGAGATTAGGGCCTAAAGTGATGTCCAAAAGATGCCACTCTATCTTCCACACTGTTATTTTTACATGTGTGCAAAAGTTCACCTGATATATATTTCTTCTTGCAGAGTATCTGCAAGGCAACAGATACTTTAGTCCACCAGCTGTCTATCATAATTGTACTCCATTCCACTATTGAGCAATTCCTTGAAAGGTTGTGGGGAGAGCAGTATATGGAAAGGATTACCTCCATGTGCCATCTTTCTCAACAGCTCTCATTCTCAAACAAGCTGAAAACTTTTGTGGAAAATATGTTATTTTACATATATGTGGCATAGACTACATAACACAAATCCTATGAATGATCTGTTGCATATTCCCACCATAATCTTGATCAATATACATTCCATACATGGTAAAAATAAAATATTTAAGTCAATCTGGAATTGTCCAGAGTTGGGAGAGATGTACAAAAGGGGCCACCCAATCTGCATCAAGCTCAAACAAGGTATCTGCTCCACAAATACTTATTCTGCTATAACAGGACTTTGTGATGGCACATTTGATTTAAGGCAGGAGATATTTACCCCAAACCATTAATTACTGGAAGCAAAAAGTCAATACAGAAGAGTGTGTTGTACATCCTTTCATTCGTTGACCTATTTTCTTTCTTACAGGGAGACTTCCTATAAAGTGTCATCAACAGGACTCTTCATTTGCTGGACCCTAATTCTGTTGATCATTACGCTGGTCTTTAAGGCGGTTTCCAATAATATTTCAAAAAGAGAATAAACCGAGCTTATTACCATTTAGTTCCTATTCTTCCATACCCAAAAGTTGCCATTCCCCTTTTAAAAGCCTTGTATTTCCTGGAAGGAAACCGGCGGGGTTTCAGCTCTCCGGTAAAATTTGCTCTTGCAAATTTAATTCGAAGCAAGCAGCAAGAACCATCCTCTCGAGCTCAACTCCCCCTTCCCTGCTGAGTCGCACAGGACGGCCACAGAGGCCATCAAGACCCTCCACGGGCAACAGAGGTCTACGCGAGGGGGGGGAAGCGGCGCTCCTTGCCATTTTTGGC